TGGTTCTGTTGTGATGTCACCCATTTCATTTCTTATTCATGTTATTTATATTCTCTCTCCCTTTTCCTTTGTTAAATTGGCCAGTAGTTTGTCAATCGATCTTTTCAAAAAACCAACTTCTGGTCTTGTTGATTTTTTTCTATTGCCCTTCTATTTTCTGTTTAATTGATTTCTGCTCAAATCTTGATTATTTCCTTTCTTCAGGGGACTGTAGGCTTTTCTTGCTGTTCTTTTTCTAATTGTTGGAGATGTTGGTTTAAAGTGTTGATTTTGGCTCCTCTTTTTTGATGTGTGCATTTATTGCTATAAATTGGCCTCTGATCACTGCTTTTGCTGTGTCACAAAGATTTTGGTATGTTGTGTTAGCATTCTCATTTGATTCAAGGAATTTCTGAATTTCAATATTTATTTCTTCTCATACTCAGTCTTTCTCAAGGAGGGTGTTGTTCAGTTTCCATGTGTTTACTCTTTTTCTGTTGATCTTCCTAGTGCTGATTTCTAGTTTGACAGCATTATGATCTGAGAAGATGCTTTGCAGTATTTCAATGTTTTTAAATTTATGAAGGCTTGCTTTCTGGCCTAACATAGTCTATTATGGGAAATGTTCCATGTGCACTGGAGAAGAATGTATATTGTGCTGCTGTTGGGTGAAGTGCTCTAAATGTCTATAAGGCCAAGTTGGTGAATTGTATTGTTTAGCTATTCTGCATCTTTGTTGAGTTTCTTTCCAGTTGTTCTATCTTTCAGAGAAAGTGGTGTATTAAAGTCTTCTACTATGACTGTGGAGTCATCTATTTGGCTTTTCAACTCTTTTAAAGTCTGACTTATGCATTTTGGGGCCCTTTCATTAGGTCCATAGATATTTATGATGGTTATATCTTCATGTTCAATCGATCCTTTCATCATTATATAATGTCTTTCCCTGTCTCGTATGGTGGTTTTGTCTTAAAGTCATTTTGATCAGAAATTAATATTGCCACTCCTGCTCTCTTACAGTTGCCATTTGCTTGATGTATCTACTCTTTTGTGCTTCTACTGTGTTGTGTAATTCTGTCATCTTGGTGCTCATGCTCTGCATTTCAGTAGACATCTTCTGTATTTCTAACTGCTGTTTTTGTATGAGTTCTGATGGGGCATTAATCTTAATATTCTGTTCTTCAATGATTTTCCTGAGTTCCTCCAGGGAACTGTCTTTGTTCTCCTTGTTTCTGTTTGGGGTTTCCTTAGGCTCTTGTTGTTGTTGTTGTAGTTATGTGCCGTCGCGTTGGCCCCGACTCATAGCGACCCCTCCTTGGGTTTCCGAGTCAGTATCACTACGGAAGTAGGATTGCCCAACCTTCCTTCCGAGGAGTGGCTGGTGGGTTTGAACCGCCAGCCTTCTGGTTAGCAGTCAAGTGCTTTAGCCACTATGCTACCAGAGCTCCTAGGCTCTTGTATAGCTCTATAAATATATCTTCTAAATTTCTTCTCAGATCATTCTATTGTCTCCTTTTCCTCCATATATAATGAGACCTTTGTTTGTGGTTTTGCTTCTAATGCTTTGTCCCGTTTTTTTGTTTGATTTGAGGTTGCCTGTTGTTTCCTAGATATTTTGAGGTTGTCTTTAACTCTTGGTTACATGTTGATTTGTTTTGTCTTGGTTTTATGGTTTAATATTTTGAAAAGGTAAAGCTGGTGTATTTTATTTTATTATTGATTCAGGTATGCTGGGTCGCTCTGCAGTTTTTTTTGTGATGGTGGAATCACTGTGTGGAATGTGGAGATGGGTTTCTGTTTGTCGTAAAGAGGGTTTAGAGTTCAAACCGGGAGGCTGTCTGTTGGCTGAATATGGTTTCTTCTATCGAATGAATGAAGTTATTGGCAGAGAAGGTGGGAATGGAAGAAGGAAAGCTTGCTGTTGCTAGGGTCAGTTTCTAGGGCTTTGAGTGGGCTGATACTGATGACGTTGTACTGTTACTTACAAGCCCATGGCTCAATTTCAGGAAAGATTCCTGTTGTTAGGGTGTCACCACTTTCTGCCAGGCTCAGACACATGCAAAGACCCTGTTCCCAAGGCCCCTCGGTGCCAGAAAGCCGATCCAAGGCAAATTCCTGGGTCCCCACTGGGCCGCAGATGTTCCTCCACCCGGTCTGCCTGCAGCACCAGCCCAACCTGCCCAGACCGCTAACAGCTCAGGAGTTTGCCTGTGATACCACCCACCTGTGGCACCAAAGATGTGTGCGATTTCAGCTGCGCTGGAGTCAGGAGAGTGCCTGCTAGTAATCTGTGGTCCTGATATTAGTGATAAAGACAAGCACAGACCTCTCAATGCCACTTAAGCTGACCCAAGCCTATTCAGTGACCTGCTGAGGGGGGAGCGAACTCACACTCCTGGAGCACCAATGAGCTCTCTGCTTGGGTTTCAGTGATGCTGAGCGGGCCTGTTTGCACCTAGCCGACCCAAGTTACCGATAAAATCAGGTGCTGAAGGTAGAGCCTTGGGGTGCCTGCTGGTATGCTGGTGTGGTCGCTGGTATGCTGATATAGGGTGTCTTCTGCCTGGGCCCAGGGAGGTCTCAGGTGTCCGTTCTGGCCTGCCAGTCACTCCCCCAGGGAAGTCTCTAATGGCCTTTCTCAGCTGCCTGTCCACTTTCTGCCAGGTAAATCTTCTTTCTTGCCCTGTGCCTTTCCTCTAATTCTATTCCTCTGTGTTTGGTGCACTCTGATTCAGTGAGCTGTTTGGGCACCAAAATCCCTAATTCAAACTGCTGTACCTAGTTTTTCAAGCACTAAGATGTTAGAGGGAAATAGTGTGGTGATTACTGATGAGACTCCATTTTGAATCCTCATGTGTGTAAGACATTTTGATTATCAGGCTTCACAAAATCTCCTTCTACTAATAAAGGTTTTTATATAGGAGACGGCTGGTGGTTCAAACCCATCAGCCACTCCTCGGAAGGAAGGTTGGGCAATCCTACTTCCGTAGTGATACTGCCTCGAAAACCCAAGGAGGGGTCGCTATGAGTCGGGGCTGACTCGACGGCACATAACAACAACAACAACAACATATAGGAGAACATTTTATTCTAGGTTCTGATCACATAATTTATCTTTACAGCTTTCATAATCTGTGTGAACAAGGTCAAAACAGAATTGAGATTATCCCTTTCTGCAAGAAACTTACTTAGATTTAATGATCATAAAAACACTGACCTAAGTAGTGTATCATTTCTTCTTTAAAAATTGTGCTTTTCATGAGGATATAATAAAGTCATATGACAGTTCTAAACTAGACTAGACAATGTGAGTGAAGTAAGCATACTTGAGTAGCTGATCCAAATGCATGTCCAAAGTCAATTCCAATCACGCCACCAGTTTCCATATTCACCATGAAATTGTTCAGATGTCTATCTCCAATTCCAAGGATCCAGTGGCTAATACACACCACAGCGTGAGAGCTGGCAAAGTGGGAACGAAGTGCCAGGAAGGCCTCAGGGCCTGTGCTCATTTTCAAAAAAGCACGCCTGGAAGAACAGAAACATAACTCTGTAGTCTTTGCTATACATACTTGCTTGTCGGTAAAGTCAGAAGTCTACTTACTTTAAGAGATTTCCAGGCATTCTACTTTCTCTTTTTCGAAAAGATGTGATGGTTTCAGTGCGACTAGCTCCCCTATAATGTAATAATGGGAAATACTTTATTACAAAAAACTTGAGACTTCAAACTTAAATTTTAAAACTCTTCACTTAGATTGAAACTATCAACTGGATGAAAAATATTTTTTATTATGATAAAACAGATAAGTTTTCCATTCCAAGAATTTTTTAAGTGTACAGTTCAGTAACAATTATATTCAGCATGCTGTGCTACCATCATTATTATCCATTTCTAAAAGTTTTTCATCACACCAATATGTAGAACTCCCTAAGCAATAACTCATTTCTCATCCCCTAGCTCCTGGTAACTACCAATAATAGACTTTTGTCTCTATGAATTTGCCCACTCTAGATATCAAATTAGGAGCTCTGGTAGCATAGTGCCTAAGGCACTTGATTGCTAACCAGAAGGCTGGCGGTTCAAACCCACCAGCCACTCCTCGGAAGGAAGGTTGGGCATTCCTACTTCTGTAGTGATACTGCCTCGGAAACCCAAGGAAGGGTCGCTATGAGTCGGGGCTGACTCGATGGCAAACAACAACAACAACAACAAGACATCAAATGATGTCTCTGAGACAAAACTTTCTAAGAATCAAAACTCTGTGACTTTGTAAACAATGAGCTAGTTAGTAAAACAAAAAAACAAAACAAAACTTACTTATACATTTGCATGTAAGCGCCAATATTATATTTTCCAGACATCTTTGTCAGCCAGTCCCTATATTCAGACAGTGGTGCTTTTGGATCCCTAAGTAGGTAAAAGGGAATCTGAATTAGGAAGAAATAAGGTCAGAGGCAAAAATAACCAGGAACTTAATGTATATTATGTGAATTTATCAAAAAATAGTGAAGAGAAAATAGGCTTTTAATGTATTATTAATCATATTTAATATTAACATTGAACCCATTACTTTGGATCTAGAATGTCAAAATATTACACCCATTGCCACTGAGTTGATTCTGACTCATAGACACCCCCCAGTGGGTTTCCGAGGGGGTAAATCTTTATGGAAGTAGATTGCCCCATCTTCATTCTGCGGGCTACCTGGTGGGTTTAGAACCACCAACCTTCTGGTTAGCAGTCAAATGTCTTAAGCACTGTGCCACCAGAGCTCCTTCAAAATATCATTATTCATTCTAATTATTCCTAAAGGAACTACGCTAAGCAAGGGGCACAGTGGGCCAACTCCACCTTCATTGTTGACTCCCTGGTAAGGATCAGCATTAATTCAATCCCAAAATGTGGAAATGGATACAGCCCTCACCTTCCCACTTCTCCATCCTCATTGCTAGCCATTCACATGGCACTCTCCCTCTTTGACCCTAGCCACCCATAGCTGAATCAGAGGTCATAAGTTACATGGATAACCACCCTAGCCACCCAGAGTGTGCTAGATTGGTGTTCACATGTTAGAAAGACACCTTCTTTCAGACGACAAAATAGGCAGACACCAGCCCTTGCTGGCTCTCGCTTCCCCTATGGGTTCATTAATTTGCTGGAACAGCTCACAGAATTCATGGACAGTATACTATACTAACAGCTGCACCTTTATTACAATAAAAAAGGATAATAAACAGGGTAAGATCTGGGATGGGTCACTTCCATTCCTAAAGAGGGACATGTTACTCTCTTCTACATGGTCATCTATCAGGAAGCTCACCTGAGCCTTAGGGCTCAGGGCTCTTATTGGCCTCACCACTTGGCAATGATAAATTAGATGATGCTTTGTGAGGCTGTCACCATCAGGTCCCAATGTGGTCCCTCTTAGACTGGTCAGTCCCCATTCACTAGTCCCAGGTGTTTGTACAACCTGGAAGAACAGAGAACAAAGGCCAAATAGCTCTCTGCAAGATGATTCTACATTGCGGTGTACTGAATTACTTGGTATGGCTCTTCTAGCCAGGGTCTTTGTGATGCCTACCAGACTACTGGGTGGACCTATGCAACTGTAAGTTACCTGTGGCCCACCAAAGGGATTGGATAGCTTGTTAGTAATGCAAATAAGGTACATGTGGTAGACCTGTGCAAATAAGGTGTAAAGAACCTTAATGAGGGGATTGGTTAGTTTTGTTATTCTGCTAGGCTTAAAATGAGCCCTCCTAGAGGCTGAAGAAGGAGCACTGGTGGCACAGTGCCTAAGGCATCTGACTGCTAACCAGGAGGCGGGGAGTTCAAACTCACTAGCTGCTTCATGAAAGGAAGATGAGGCAATCCACTTCCAATAAAGATTGATTGCTTTGGAAATCCAATGGGGGTTGCTATGAGCTGGAATCAACTTGATGGCAGTGACTGGGTAGAGGCTGAACATAGGGAATCTCTGAGATGGAGCATGTCCTTGGACTTAAGAGCCCTGTGCAGAGAGTCTGGCAGAGAGATGGCAAGAGAAGAACTGAGAGACCAGCATAAGGCAGAGTGGGGTGCACCTAGATATACCTATCAGCAGAGCTAAAAGAGCTTTGTAATACTTGTGTGACCAGAGCAGAGACCAGGCTGAGAGGTCAGGGGCCAAAGAGAGGCATGCCTGAGGGCATGACTGAGGTGAGGGGAGGCTGTCCTGATCTAAGAATTGTATCCCAAGCATTCCTGAACCTGAACTGTAGCCTGTTACATCCTTAATAAGCCCCATAATCACGAGTATTGCCTGTGAGTTTTGTGTGGACCACGACAACAAATTATTAAACCCAGAAGAGAAGTAGTGAGTGCCGTGGGAGGGATGGCTGGTGTCAGAACTGGTAAAAAGGCCTTATCTGGCCTCATAGGAATCAGCCTGAGGCTGGTGATGGTGATTCTGTTTCCCCTTTGTGAGGCTGGAGGTCAGAGGGTGAGGTTGCCTCCAAGCCCTTTTTGCATGCACACTGCAGAGACCCAAGTTATTTTCTATGCAAACATTTAGGCATAAAACAATCAGATACAATAAATTCCTTACTTCATATAGGGAGGAATAACTGAAAAGACTACAATGAGCTAAACTTTGGTGTTTTTTACCTAAGCATATAATTCAATTTAAACATCTGTGGACCTTGAAAAGAACTCTAACAACAGATGCACAGTATTAGATGCTACTAAAGCAGCATATGAGAGCTTAAAATCAAAGGTACTTGGTGTGTGTAAAGTAGTCTAAAAGTAGAGCCTTACCATTTTAGACTCTGAATCTAGAATCCATGTTGAATTTTAAAGCTACCTTTCTAACAGCAGTTCTGCTAACCTTGATGCTGACCATAGACCCTAAAGGAGATATTCTTTTTCTGTGAAGTCTGCCTTTTAGATATTTTGCCTATGACTCCCATAATTGTCTTTTAGCCAATTATGATTTTGTCACTTTTGTTCTTGCTCCAACAAAAATGCTTTCTCCCTCACTGTGTGGTGGAGTAGCCATTTTGACTTGGTGAATTTGGATGTTTTCCAAATTCTGTACTATCTCTATATCCTTCAGTAAACTTCTTTTGCTTTTACTTAAGCAGACTTGGAAATGTTGTTCTACTACAGTAGGCAAGACGTGTTAGGACAACTTACTATTAACTAACAAAAGGTCCACAAACTATTTGTAGAAGACTAGTTGTTTTTTTTGAAAAAGCATAAGGCACTCAACAAGACGGCTTGACACGGTGGCTACAACAATCGTTCAGGTATAGCAATGATTGTGGGGCTGGCAGAGGAGCAGGTAGTGTTTCATCCTGCTGTACACAGGGTCGCTATGAGTCGGAGACGACTTGTCGGCACCTAATAGCAACAACAACAACAGTTGTTTTTATGCTTAGTTAGAACCCTGCTATCTTCACCATTAGGAGCTCTGGTAGCATAGTGCCTAAGGCACTTGACTGCTAACCAGAAGGCTGGCGGTTCAAACCCACCAGCCACTCCTCAGAAGGAAGGTTGAGCAAACCTACTTCTGTAGTAATACTGCCTTGGAAACCCAGGGAGGGGTCGCTATGAGTCGGGGCCGACTCGATGGCACATAATAACAACAACATCTTCACCATTTACAGTAGGGCAGATAAGTACAAAATCCAAATTAAGTAATATAAAATATTTTAAAAAATGATAATTGCTGCTTCAATTAAATTTGAAAATCTGTTTTCAACAATGTTTCATAGGAAACAGGTAGTATATGGGAAGCTGGAAATGTGATATTTGTATGTTTTGAGTTTGTGCCGAAAGCTTCAATGAATTTTCCTTAAAATAAAATAAAACCAAAAAACAAGTGTTCTTTTCACAACATGTTACTTAGCAATAGAATCACAGGCAAATCTTTTCTAAATCATTACTACGTTCATTTCACAAACTACTCTGTTTTTACCTAAATTTTTGTTTTGGGTTTATTCCCTGGGTGGTGTAAATAGTTAAATACTAAACTATTAGCTGAAAGTTTGATAGCTCCAGCCAAGAGGCACCTTGGAAGGCCTGGTGATCTGGTTCCAAATGGTCACAACCTTAAAAACCTTTTGGAGTTCTACTCTACACACATAAGGTCATCATAAGTCAGAACTGACTAAATAGCAACCAACAACAATTTCAACTAGGATGAGAATCATTAGGTTTGAAAACTACAACATCATAAATTAAGAGAAAAGAAAAAGGCAATTATTTTACCCTTGTTTTAAAAAAGGTAGTAGGAAGTAATGTATACAATTCTATTTTAAAAGCACTTTAAACTATTAATATCTATGTTTATGCAATTATTCTTTATGACCATCCCATTTTACAAATAGAGGCATGGGAATAAGGAGAAGACAAGTCACTTGTTCAAGGTTCCCACTGCTGAGTCAAAAACTTCCAGAACAAGACCTAGAATTTCTGACACCGGAAATATTCTTCCATCAGTTTTCCTGTCTTTTAGGAAAACTAAAAAGGGGTTTCAATGGCTGACTTTTTGGAAGTAGATCACCAGACCATTTTTCTGAGGTGCTTCTGGGTGGACTTAGACCTCCAACTTTTTGGTTAACAGCTGAGCATGTCAACAGTTTGCACAACCCAGGCATGATAAGATAGGTCCTATTTAAATACTTTCAGGAAAGAATGACAGTACAATGATGAGAAATAGGACTCAGGTATTTGTGACCACTTCCTCTTCCTTCTTAACCATCAAAGTCTGTCAAGTCTTCCTTCAAAATGCCTCTTGTAATATTGTCCTTATTTTCCTTTTCAGAAACAAAAAACAAGCTCTTCTGTAAGTATTAAAAAAATACACGTTCATTGTTGAAAATTTGAAAAATATAGAAGATAAAGAAAAATAAATAGCACTTTGTATTATAACCCAGAATTAAACACTGATAATCCCAGCTACAGCACTTATAAACTGCGCAACCTAAGACAAGTTACATAACCTCTCTTGATTGGCTTCTGCAGGACATCTCTGTCATCAAATTCAGAAGCAAAAAGAACATACAGGGGTTTCAGTCTGTATTAGTTTCCTATTGCTATGTAGCAAATACCTTGTTGTTGTTGTTATGTGCTGTCAAGTCGGACTTGACTCATAGCGACCCCTCCTTGGGTTTCTGAGGCAGCATCACTACAGAAGTAAATTGGCCAACCTTCTTTCCTAGCAGTGGCTGGTGAGTTTGAACCAATTAATTGGGATGTCTTATGAAATTATGATCCTAAATTTCCAAACCAAAGAATCAAATTTCATGAGGTGTTGGTACATAAGTAGCTTCAGCAGCTACAATTTTTTTTTGTCAATGTTATGTCTATTGCACAACTTTCACCAGTTCAACTTTTTCTAGTGTACAACTTACTGGCAGAGATTA